TTAGGGGTTCATTTACAATTTGGTCCTGTACCGGTTGTAAGTGTGCTCCTATGCTGATAGTGTACATGCTTTTTTTTCTTTTTGCTTTTTCTTTTTTTTTTCTTCTTATTTGTTTTATTATGTTTATACTCAATTTTATTGTTAATTAATATTAGTTTTGCATTAAGAGCCTATTGAACTCGACTGTTATTTGTTTAGTTGAGTTTCTAGTATAAGTGGAATAAAATAAATAAATAAATCAATCTTAACTGTTAGTGGTAATTTTTCACGGCTAAGTGCTAATAAGCTAATATTGGGCTTTCCTAACAATTATAAGTCATCTAAACGTTGGATATGCTTTTTGGGAATTGGAATGGTTTTGCAACAGGTACCTGCCTGAAATGTTATTTCAATCCATAACTACATTTATCTTGCTACTTATCCAGCATTTATATCCTTCAGGATTTTTTTTTTTGTGAGGTGGATAACCATCAACAGGCGCCCATCAGGGCAGTGCGCGACTTTAACCCGCTAAAAACCAACCCTCCAATTCCCTAATCTATGGCAGGACTGTTTAGATATACCTTAACAGGGAGGGTATCCGTTTAAGCACTACTTACAAGCCTACGTTGACGCTCTTCGTGTCTTTGTTTTCCCGAAATATTTGCGGCGAACACTCCTACCGGCTTCAATATTTTCAGGTCGTGCAACATAATTGTCACAAGATTGTCGGGGAGAGGTAGCACACCAACTTCCTTCTGTAGTATGGTATTTCGGACAGGCAAAGAAAACATTGTAACGGGTCTTCTTTGGCGGGGTAAGCTCAGGGCATTCCAGGATTCCTTCCAAGGAATATATACAGAAGAAAAATAATTTGGACCTCCGGATGTTGGTTTTATTATTTATTTACTCCTAAGGAATTTACGATAGATAAGCGATTTTAAGAGGAGTGGGAGGAAAAAAAAATCAGCGTGGTGACCCGACTCTTGCTTTGGTTCGTCCCGAAAGATTATTATTGTTTTGTTTACGTTTTAACCGTATCGCGAGATTCTGTAAAAGAAAAGCAAGACGCAGCGGGTGTTACAGCAGCCAACCTCGGTCTATAGGCTCACGCGTCCGTTTCTTAACCGTTTCACTTCGCAAGAGAGTGTCCATTACTCATTCAAGGTTGGCGGCTAAGCTAAACCTGCCACCCCCTATCCGTGAAAGTTAACAGTCCTATTAGTCATTCAGGGATGACGGGTAAGCTAAACTTGCCATCCCCTATCCGTGAAGTTAACAAAAAGGGCCTAGCAGTAATGTCAGCTAGTTATGTAGTCCGTAATCACTTACTTCTGGCTGCTGTAACACGAATGAAAAGACGAGCGTGCTGTTACGTGGTCTTTTATAGTCGCGATCATCATCGCTGTCCCGTTACATAGCTGCTTTGACTTTCATATGTGTTACCATGATATTCTTAAAACAACAGCAGGCGTTAAAACAAATTTGACCCGATTACGAGTATTTTGTCATTATTATTGTGTTATTCTTATGTGTGTTTTCTTACATATACTAATTTAGGTCTGGTCGAACATGGTTGCCTGCATCTACTAATGCTACCTCAACTACTGACTCGTATGGTCTTCTTGCTAGTGTTGGCTTAGGTCTGATTGAACATGTTTGCCTGCATTTATAATATAATACTAATCTTATGTATATTTTAATGTTAAATAAGTACCAACTCGTATGATCTTACTGCCAGTGCTGGCTTAGGTAACAAATCGTATGATTTTATAAGCCGCAGAACCGTTAAGTATGCCTTCATATGATATGTACAATGAGTAATCTTATAAACCTTATGTTACTATTGCCTATTGCTTGTATGCGTATTTTTATGTCTGTTTTATTGTCATTGCTAATCTAGATACCAAATCGTATGATTTCATACCCCGTTAGGCATGTCTTCATATGATGGGCACCATATCAACATGGCCTTTTTTTTCACTCGTAATGTTTGCTTGTTTGCCTATCGTTATGTCTATCTTAAGGATATTGGCACCAGACCGTTAAGTCTGTGCCTTTACAAAATGTGGATAATTCAATACTACAGGTAGTTTGTTGAAAACTAGCAACAGCTATTAGAATGTTGCTCAACGGATTATAACACGTTTCTTCATGCAAAGACTTATGTATATTGCTTATACTGGGCACATTTCCTTTTTCTCTTGTTTTTTAATAAACATTGAGTTATCAACAGTTTGTGCAGGAGAAGGATGATCTTATGCTGACGTAAGGAGAGGAGATATATAAGGGGTATTCATTCTCTAGAGCGGAGGGACAAACCATACTGACTGTTTTTGGGGTCTAAGGGTCGCCATTTGTGCGGACGGAAGGAAGTAAAACGCTTCCTTACAACATGTTCAGCGTCTTCGATGCTTTCACAAAAACTACAGAATGTGTCCTGCTCTATCTTAAACCTATTTAAATATGCTCTAAAGCAACCAGGGCCGCTAATTGGCTGTGTCAAATACCTGCTTTGGCTCGCAAGTCGATTTGTATGATCCCAGCGATAGCCAAAGCCGCATCGTCCGACGTCGTCCGCTCTTAGAGCGCATAGCCTGTATGCTGCTTGGATGTTTCTTGTGTAAGACGGTATAGTGAGGGCTTTTTCCCAAACTAAAGAGCTATACATTACTGCCGTAGTCACCACTTTTGCAATCAGCTTTGTATGATCTTGCCAAGGCCCCGCTAGTTTGGCAGTAAGCACGCCCGCGACTTTGCTACCTTAGCTGCCTTTTCGCCCATGTACTGCAGAAGCCGTTTAAACGAAAGTCTATAGTCGATCATCCCTGCTAGGTATTTTATAGCTTCTTGTGACTGTTTCCTCGTATCTCCCACTTGGATAGTCACTTTCTCAATTTTCTTCCTAGAAGAGATTCATACCGCTTCTGTTTGTTCTTCCGCCAGATCTAAATTCACTGACCGCAGCCACCTCTTAATCGTGTCGGTAGTTTTATTCGCTGTAGTGGTATTTCCCTCTAAAGTTTTTGCCACGATAGTTATCGCAATGTCGTCAGCAAAACCCACGATGGATGCTCCCTCTGGGAGAGGTAGTCTCAGGATATCGTCGTACATCACGTTCCGCAATGTAGGACCCAGGACTGATCCCTGAGGCATCCCTCCGGTGGTCGGCCTTTCTCTGCACCCTTTATACGTAACGTATCGAAGTTTCCTGTCAGTAAAGTAACTAGCCACTGTATTTAGAAGATGCGGTAGGACTCTTCTTTTCTGTACAGCGACTATGACACAATACCAGTTTGCTGAGTTGAATGCATTTTTAATGTTTAATGCTATTACTAAGCAATACTTTTTGTTGCCTTCCATCCAACGTGTTCCTTTTACACTTTGCCTATTGTATCCAATAGACAAATACGGCGGTATGCGTATGCTTCACGGTTTAGTTGGCTTTGGCAGCAACACCAGCGTTTGTTGTTTCCACTTATCTGGAAAAATTTGTTCTTTCAAACAAGCGTTGAATGTGCTCACAAACATAGCCTAAATATTTTAGCTTCTTCATCACCTATTTATACGCCTTACCCCACTTTTTCACCACATTTTCTTACTGACCATTATCGATTTTTTAAAAAGTCATCGCCTGAATTTGAGCTCTTCTTGATGTCTGAGATAAGCGCTAGTCCCTCTCGATCTTTGGTAGATATGCCTCGCTCTGTTATATTGAGCCCTTAGTTCGGTTATCTTGTCTGTCCACCAGCATACTGGCTCCTTGCTCTTGAAGAAGCAACGTCTGAATCTTCACAAGCTTTTATAATCCGTGCTATAACCTCCGCAACGGAAGCCTTTGCCGAGTTCCTGGGTTCTGCTTCTTCCAATTTATGCTCGAAGAGTTTTTTATCTAGAGATTCTCGTTTCCATTTGAGACCCCTGAGAGAGTTTTACCCTGGTCGCCCGCTGGCTCTGATGTAGCTTCAAGATTATTGCTACGTGGTCACTGTAAGTATAGATGTTGTTAATAACCCATTCTAGGGATTCAAGCACTATTTGCCCTTAACGTTCGTCCACTTGCTACCCCTTACATCCTTCAGCTGCACATTTGCATTTGGATTTGAACACGTTTTTTACATTGATGCTTTTAAGATGCTTGGTGTTACCGAATTGCAGCATTTTTCTATAAAACGTTGCTGTTTGAGAAATTTTCTTGTTAAGGAATTGAGACGCTTTGGAAAGTTGATTTTATCGCCTTAAGATTACATTTTTCATCGTTGATGCTTGAATTCTTTTATGATGACCCACTTAAAAGGACATCTCGTACCGATTTCTCCTCCAATGAATTCGCAATTTAGTCTTCACAGATTTCCAACACACTTACAAATTCAACAGTTGACCTCACCCATGTTTTTTGCATGCATTGTTAGCCTATTTCTTTTCATCGGAATATTAATCTTTGATATACAAAATAAATAAATTAAGCAGCTAAATCACTAATTTGATTAAAGGAACGAAGACTTTCGAAGTCATTCCTTTGTTAATGCTGTAGTAATAAATTTCTATTTCTGAGGCGCGAAATGATTATATGAAAAAGGGATCCCGTCCGATTCAAAATTGTCCGGCGAATTTAGAACGCCGAAATACTACTACTAAATAATTTTTTTCGCGAACTTCTAAAAATTACATTGCTTTTTCGTATAGCGACTTACCAAAAATTATTAGTGGAAAAAGTGGTCCGAAGCGAATCGTTTTTAATAGCGTTCACCCTAGCTCTAAAACATGTCATTTTATCAAATTTAATCAAAATACCCCAAAAATGCAACCCGTAAATGCTATATGGTCACTCATCAGACGGGCAGACAAGTTTAGACCAATTTAGGCAACGATTCTGACGCGGTCGGTATGGTAAATCATGGGTCTACCTCAAGTCGTTCTGAGTATTATCTACGTGCGCACAAATTTAATATAACCTGTGCCGCCAGCGATGTAAGATACAAAAATTTGAGCTAGATGAGTTGATGTTCTGAATCCCTCGCTTATAATCATTCCTACTAAAACTCGCTTTAGATGGGAAAACGTTGGTTTTGTTCGCATCTTGTGATGAAAATGGGTGAATGATGATGCGGCCTTTGACAAGAAGTCTAACTTCTTGAAATTTGAAAATCGGCGCGTGTGTCGGACCTTCTTACTCTTGATACTGACTGACACTTAAATTTGTTAAACGCGGAACGGGTCAGGCTATATGAATACTTTCGGACACTCCAAAACATATATTTCGCCTTGATAGTCGCAGGAAGTGTTCCAAGGAATAATCTAGTGTGTGCCATTTCTGCAGTGACCACCGAACTGCGGTGCCGAGGTCTTTCATATTTCGGGATACGTGAAATAGCGAGTACATATCGCAGCTCATATAGGGTGCGATCTATCCGGACGAAACGTAATAAAGCTAATATCCACGAAAAATACATTAATTTTGAGGAAGGTATGTAAACACTCACATATCACTTCTACGCTGTAGAAAGAAAATAACGGACACGATACATCGAAAAGTGCCTATTAAAACTAAAACTATATTTGCTTCTTGTTTCTTTAGATTTTACCATGGTGTGCGCAATCTAAGGATGGTTTCCTACTTGCCAGCAACCACAGCACTTGGACTATCTCTTAACACTTCAATGTGTACAGACTCAGTGACATAAAACAAATTGTCTTCGATGCTAATTCAATTCTGATTGTCTGTATTCATATTCACTATTGAAAAATAGATACAGATACACAGAGATATAAAACAATTTCATCTCATCACAAGAATGTGAATGTGCCGAAGACTTGGAAGACTTGGATAAATGTTGCATAAAGTTTGATTTATTTGAATCCGTACAAACCGGTCACGTACAAAAGTTTCTCCAAACAATCATTATGGTTGCGAACGAAAAACTTTGCATCATTTGTCAAATATACTCGAATCGTTTGGAGAAGCGGAATAACGTTTAACCCATAACTCATTACTAAGTCTAGATACATCTGCATGTGTAGGCTATTTTTCGCTTGAACTTTGACATCGAGAAGGGCATTTTTCCGCGGGCCAGCATTTTAGTGAGCTAACTCGAAAGATCCTGCTGTCTCAAACATCAATTAACGTCATCCCGCAAAAGCAGGTTATTTTTATATAGCAATTTTCAATCTTAGCTCAGCCTTTTCGATATTGGTTAACCAAAGTCAGATGTGAAGAAAAATAAATTCGTCTGTAACCAAATGCCATATTAGTACACTCCAATGAAACTGGAAACATCGTCTACGATATGAACCCCGCATCTTCTTGCATCACCAACGAGATGATTTTTCAATTAACGCCAAATAGAGTGTTTGTTGCCGAAGTTTATTGTCGTCAAGACCGTAGAACGTTTCCGCATCCAGGCAGAGTTGAAATCGCTCCGGAAGCAGAATAAGAAGACAGGTAAATATGTCCACAGGTTTGTAGATATAAAGGGGCTTATTCGTGTTAAATGTCGCTTACACTCAACAGCAATTTCATATGAAGCGCATCATCCAATTCCATTGTCCTGCATTGGCTTCTTGGCAAAATATTTAAGCAGCACTGGAATTGCCGCCAACATTCTTATCTTACAACGCAACTTTGCTGGTTCATGGCAGGCGCACTGTTTGTTTTGCAACAAAGTATTTGGAGTAGCGGATTAAGATAGAAATGACTGCAACAGGTTAAAGAAAGTGTCACTTCGGATGGAGTCGTTGCGCCACACGAGAGTTGGTTTTCGCAGGCCATTCTATTTGCACTTCAAGTAAAAAGACATCACTGAAACAGATATATCACAGATACAACTAAATTTTGCTACTTTACCGCAAAAGCCTCGAACCTCCACGTCATTAGTGACTTAACCAGTGATGCGTTCTTGGGTTGGCAAAAACCGCTGAGTAACCAGTCTCGTTTGTTACGAGCCAAATCTAAATTGGGAATGTGAAATGAAGTGAGTACACGCCAAAGATAAGTTCACCGTATTATTGAATGAATTCGGCGAGTATGTAGCGCGGAAAACCGTTCTGAAGTGCCCCCTCTTTTAGTGTTAGTTTTGTGAAAAAAATCGGCTTAACTGGAGATCTCAGTGAAAAACTAGACTGAAAAGCGCGCTATCGCTCCATTGTCGATTCGTAGAAAGTCTTCCCCTCTCTTCACTATTTAGTTACGGCCGTTAAGTACAGTGAACACGAAAACAGGCATTGCCAATTTCTCTGAAGCGTAACCTTGCGCTTTCGACAAAAGTACATATAGTACTGGTATGAATGCAGACGCTCTGTATTGCTCGAAGATCAGTTTGCTTACAAATATGCGTAGGAAAAGTAAGGGCGTTCTTTGCAAAGGGCAATGCTGGTCACCCCCCTAAAACTATTGGCCACGGAATGAAGCAAGCCTGCAAATATATAAACGTCCGCTAATGGTAGCAACAATGATCACATAAACAACAACGGCGAGTACAACGCCGAAAACAGCGCTACTTGCTGCGGAAAGAGAAACAGCACCAGAACAGAAATAGCAGTGATAGCAGCCCATTTAAGCACGCACACGAATACATAAGCAAAGGCGCAATAAAATGTACAACCTAAGGAAAAATCAATAACATCAGCAGCAAAACAAAAAGCCATAACAACGTAGGGTCAAAAAACAAAAACAAGAACATAGAAAATGACTGTATGTGCATAACCAACAACAGCTACATCAGAGGGAGCAAATAATGAAGTGATTGCTACACAGTGTGGAAAAATTACATGCGTAATTCACTCAGTCAAAAATGTGACGAATTCCGGAAATAGTGGGAACAAGGTAGATGAAGAAAAACGGGTTTCAAACATTAAGGCAGAGGTTTCTAAGATCGGCGCATCCGAGACGTTACGCTACTCACGATGGAAGTCCACCAACTTCGATGATGTTTAAAATAATCTTGGGGGTACAAGCTGACAGAGTTAATAAGAAGAATGGAGATCTCAAACGATCTCAAATCGAAAAATTGAAGAAGGAGGTGATGCCGCCATAATAAGAAGACGCATTATTATTATATATTATATAATTACCGTCATATTGGCGGAACGAGGAGATAGCTACGCTGCAATCGAACACGCCGGTTTCACCAAAGATCGAAAAATATCATGGATTACTTAACACGTCAACTGAAGTATAAGAACAAGAGATGATAGCTTAAAGAACTAATCCAATCATTGGACACAGGCGTCGCAGCTTCAGCATGCACGTAAATGGAATAGAAGCTAACACAAAGGGCTTGGGTTACTAGGTAGTTAAAAACACTTTGAGACCTGCAAAGACATTGTAGAAACGCTATCGCTTAGACGACTGGCGGTCTATTGCACTTGTGAGAAGACGCCACATGTCAAGTATGAACATGATATCAAAAGCTAGAGCAAAAAATTAAAAAAAGCCCTAGGACGATATGGTATCCCAAATTGTGATATTATAGTAATAATTGATCGCAAACTGAAGTGGCCGTCAAACTTTACAACAGCTGGCAAGTTACAGGTATACTTCTTGCAATGTGGAAGCAATTGGGTTTTTACAGCCATCGCATTTTGCTGGCTATGGCTGAGTCGGGAGGGCTAAACTGATTTTTCAGTGCCAGTACAGCAGTCGAAAGAACTTGATGGAACGACGATGTGGAGATATGCTGCCTAATAGTTATGTCGGATATTAAAAGTGCGTTCAACTCAGCAAGATGGCGACACATTATAATATCCTTAGATAACCGAGAAATCCCGAACTGCCTCCAAAATATCAGAACGAATTATTTCAAGCGTAGAACGATGTGTTTTCATCTAAAGGACTGTGAGATGCTGTAAGACAAATGGTTGTGGCAAAATAGGCAACGCTATACGTGAGCCATATATGGCGTCCGGGACGTCCAAATCTACAGTGAAGGTCTCAAGTCGACATTACGCCTAAGAGCGTTAAGGGTAAGCACATCGCTACTGAGGATGTTGTGCTGATAATCGCTAGGATGGTTCCAATCGGTTTGGCTGAAGAAAGTATGACAAAATCAAGGGAGAAGTGTCGCCTTGCCAGAGATGGGGAAGAGGGACTGACATGACGTCTTATACTGAACATTAAAGACTGATTTTCGAGAAAACATGTTGGCTCCTGTGTAACGCAAGAACTCACCAGATATGGTTCTTTCGAAGCCTATATTCACCACTCCAAATAGGAAGACATATATACGATGTGGGGAAACAGAAGACACGGAGCGCACATCTTGCATTGGGTAATATTCAAACAAGAAAGTGTTGAACTACGCTCGCAGGAGGAACGCAGCTTGCGGTCAAGAGCTTCGCAGCAAATATTTGCCAAGCTCTTCAGGAAAGAACCCGCCCCATTAATGTGATTGATGGCCTTTAGCTGTATATTGCGCTCTTTTTTTTGCCACGAACTTCATTGCTTAGGTAGGTGTTGATAAATAATAAGAATCCTAACGCAACCTTTTCGTCCTTTACATAGATAAAAAGGATGAGTCATATTGCAGAGATGCTGTATTTTTTTTTTTTAAATATGTAACGTTGTAACACTGGTTTTATATTTTATGTGATATTTGCTACATTACAACTCTGCAGGAAATGAAGTTGTTAGGTAGTTTAAAGACACGTGGAAAAACTTTGCAAAAGTCAGTTAAATTGTTCTTCTTTTTTTTTAGAAAAATTTTGAAAAACGTTCCTAATAAATTTGTGAAATAAACTAGTTTGTATTGGACATTATGCTCCTCAAGAACTTTACAAGTACTTCACTTTTTTTTTTACGAAGAAAATGTTTCCCGTCTAAAAATTGTCGTAAAAAAAATATTTTTAAAAGTCACAATTATAATAAAAGATACAACGGCAGGCGATTTCTTTTATATGTATAGCAAAAACAAATTGGAATATTATAATAAATATGTAAAAATGTGCAATGAATAACTATATGTACAGTTGTATAGTACGTATGTATATTCAAATATAAGCAAATTCATTTATATGTGTGAAGAAATGTTGTGGGTACATAATGTGTACACGTCGATCAAAGCAGAGAAATGCAATTTAAAAAGAAGAACGAAAATGCGAATAATCCATAAACAGCAATAAACGTTTCAACAATATCTTGGGACACCATTTTCGTCATCGAGATAGAAAAGCGATTTTTGAAACCAGAGTGAATAAAGGAAAGAGTAATAAAAATAAACTGGAAGGAAAATAATCGTCGCGAATTGTTCATGCTGAATTTGAGTTTATGAAACATTTAAAGTACACAACAGCAAAAAGTTTTAGTCTCCGTTACGTCATCAACTTCATTATTAACTTCATCATTTTTGATATCGATGTCATCATCTACAGCAGCAAACAGTCGGCACATAAGATTTTTTATCGTATTTATTTTACCTTTATAACATGTATATATGATTTATTTAATACCTGACATAATTTAAGTAGTCATACATATATACCTACAAATTATTTAATCCGCCCCCTTTTGATTAATGTAGAGATATTGTTATTGGTTTTGCTACTAGAAGTTATCTGAGCTAAAAGACAAAAAAATATGTAAAATTTTGGTAACGTTTTTTTATATTAGAGAAAAGCAAGTTAGAGAAACATTAGACCCAACTTCGCGCGAAATTACGCGCCGGAACAGATCATAGGTAGGGTAGGTTATAGGTCTTATGATCTGCTCTTTCTTTAAGTTGATTTCCTCTATCCGTTTACTTTTATAAAGGTAAGACACGCGTATATCTCTTAGTTGTAACCGTCTATGAAGTGACCATAAGAATTTAAAACCTCTGTTTACATCCCAATCTGGGTAACTCGGTTATGACACGTGCGTTCATCTCTACAAACCGCGTTCATCTTGAAGTGGCACATAAGAGTAGTCATAAAAATAGTAAAGTCAGTAGTTATATATTCAAACAGACAGAGAGAATTATTATAGACATCGTGCGTTACAACGTATTTCACATAACCAGTCAATAAATAATACATTAACCATGTTTTTCTGGTTTTGTGTCATGATGAATTCCGTACGCTCTATGTACTAATGTTATCTAGTATTGAATAAAAACTTATTAAAGTAACAGTTTATGGTGTATATAAAAACATCTCTTTTAATCTTAAAACACGTTTTTTAAAAATTTAAGTGTATTTTAGATAAGATCCACATCATGTACATTTAGTTTCAACTATTTATATAACAAAATCATTAAAACATTTACAGAGCTGACAGAGTTCATACAGAAAGCAAAAACGGTTTTACCACGCCCTTCCTTGCAGAGGCAGGTACCCCCCGCACTGTTGCTGATGTCCATTAGATATAAAATTATTTTGATTTCGGTATGCCATTGCTAGGCTATTGGACATTGCTAGGCTGTTGTTACATGGCTGCTGCAGGACTTGTGCATTGTGCGCTGATACTGTCCCATTATAGGTTGCAAGAAGTGATGACGACGTGTCTGGTGAGTGGGAGTTTGGAGCTTCCGACGTAATTAGATTGATTCCGGGCGCTGCAGAATTGTTTCCATTACCAGAGCCTGCGTTTCCCGTACTACTGTTATTTACATTGCCTGAAACCTGTTGTGAGTGTGGTTGAGTTGTATTGCCACCCGAGCAGGGCTTTCCATCTTTCACAAGGACTGGAACAGCAACCCGCCGCGGCGAACTTGCCGACTAGAAATAAGAGAACCAGAAATGATACACCTTTTGAGACAGATTGGTAATTTATATTTAATAGCTGTTTTAAATAATAATTGTTTACGGAATTTTTTGAAAAATAATATATTTTCGACAACTTTTTTTTCTCGTTCATTTTTTTATTTAACAATAAATAATGGTAGAAAGACAGTATCAATCGTAATTGTTTCTTTTTTTATTTAACTTGATGATTCTCAACCAAGTTTCACTTAGGTGCGATAATATCTAAACTGTTTTTGCTCCAAAAATCGTAAGAATACGTCTACAATTATTAGATCGGTTAAAGATTTGAAAATAATCTTAGCCTCCTATGCATTTTATATTTTCAATTGGGCAACCCTTTTCGAAGTTTACTTTCAACCTACGGCTTTTAGGGAAAATAAACTGTTTCTATTATGGATGAAGTTTTACCACCATTATGATGATTTCAAGAAGGACACGCCAGCTTAAGAATTCCTTTCCTTACCAATGAAACGAGGTGAATCACTGGGCTAAAATGCATTCCTTCTCGAGCCGATTACATTTTTGGGTATTGAATTCCTTTATCAAACCCTCGAATTGTTTGTCTTAGGTTATTACGATTACATTTTTAAAAACTGCGAAATTTTGAGCGGTTAAGAAAAAATTAAAAATAAGGCTGTGAAAACCGTGAAAGCTGTATGTTCGTTAACGGTAAAGTTATTGTCAAAAACTTCGTGTGGATGCCACATCGTTTGTGACGAGTAGGTGATCGTAGCCGATCATACTTTCTATACTTAATTTTTCTGTTGCTACTTTTGAATTTCATCGCTTGTAAGTGTTATTTGTACTGCTAAGTACCTATCTTGGAATGTATTATTTTTTTTGGGTCATGAATTGTCCTTGCTCCGGTATATATACTATGTGCTACCTCGTTGGCTCAAACAGCTCCACTTTTTTGTCACCAGAATTACACACATCGCGGAAACCCTAAAACTATCGTTTGTGTCTACCTTAGCTTTCTAAAAGTAGTAATTATATGTACCGACTTTTAATTTAAAACTTCCAATAGAACACAGTTTTTTATCTACTACATTTAATCCTGTGCTAACTTTTTAGATTAATTTCTGAAGCAGATTGTAAGCTGACATTTTTGTTAAGTGGATAGTGACTGTCTACTATCGTAAGGACAAATCCTTAAATAAAAGGGACACTCTCGAACTTACAGTTAAAAAATGTTTCTGTGCAATCTGTTGTAAAGTAACTAAATACCTTTGAACTTTCAATTTATCATGCTAAGATATTTACAGGCAAAGCGGATGTCCATGCCAACATCACCTATTGAACACCACGCTTTCACTAGATTCGATACTAAAGCTCGGATGTATTGGAACGTTGAAGTAGAACTTTAATTTGACCAGGGAGTATATTAGAGTTCATAATAACAACTCTGAAATGGAAAGTAGTCAAAATAAGGTGTTTTGAAGACTTTGAGCGGTAAGTTGAAAATTTTAAAATGCTTTTCTAATTGCCAACTATTCTGATATAAACTAACAATTTATTGCAGTTTGATTGATTTATTACAGACAATGCAATGCAGGTCTTTGCCTCTTTGTAATAGACGAGAATAAAAAGCAAATGTGAAGCGACGCACAGCTAGTTGAGACTTTGTAACACACAAGCGTAATAAATGTTTTCGTTTCGAAACTCTTAATTCTTCTTAGTAAAACAACCGTAAATAAAAAGTACATATTGTCTGCCATTATCATAAAAAATAACCTGTCTTTATTAGAAATTCATTATATGCATTCATTAGTCCCAAAATTGATAAAGCTGTAATAAACCTAACCTCTAAAAAATATTTACAGCCCGAACGTTGTCATTCTAAGGCTAGAAGAAGTATTAAATAATATAAATAATTATTGAAATAGCTTGTGCGATTCAAAGAAAATATTGTTATGCATTAATAAACCGCGAAAATAAGTGAAAATATTTGATCACTAAAATTAACTGAGACTGTTTTTTTCTTAGAAATCTTTGATGTTTTAAAAATTCTGATCGAATAACCATGCACTAAAGCGTAGAAATCGCTTAAAATGGCGTTCTAAACTGTCTGCAATAATGCTTTATTGATTCAAATAAGTAGTGGTCCGAAATTTTGCAAAGTTTTGCAAATTCAGCGGATGTAATGTAATCCCTGCTTAATGTTTCGAATTTTCCTCATCCATTTTCTATCGCGATTCACGGTCCATCTGACAATTTATATTTTTTTTTTTTAAATAAATAGGAAAAGAAACTCTTCTCAAAATGATTTTCTTTAGCACACAATTCGGCATATTCAAAACTCCAAAAAATCATGCCCGATGCCCTTCGACGAGATCGTATTTATCATGGTATAAAAACTAAACGTACTAAAATGGCATGAAGAAGACACTACATTACCTTTTACGATATTGTAATAGTTACTTTCTTCCTTGAGAGTATTTCAAAACTCAATTACAGTCTCAGCAACATGTTAACAAAAAAAATGACCTACGCACAATATCAATAGCAAATTTCAAAAATTAATAATAAACGTAACAATTTGTTTTGTCAATAAGTTAAACCAAATGGAATAACAACTTTACAATATGTTTTAGTTAGTTGTTTGAGTTTAGTTTAGTTAGTTCCAGATTTGGTTAGTTAGTAACCAATTACGATTAATATTTAAAACTACAATATTACAATAAATGATATTATTAATGAATTACCTGATTTTGTTGGTTTTGTTCGGCCATGGCTTTTTCTTTAGCTTGTCTTTTGCATTTATACCTATGATTTTGAAACCAAATTTTTACCTAAAAATAAAGAGAAATAAACGAATAACTTCTGTGCATACAGGAGAAGCATTATATAACATCGTGCAAAAAATAATACAAAACAGCAACTAAAATGTATGTAAAATATAACATCAGCTAAACGATTATAAAAGTGCAATGAATATATCAGTGTAAAAATTAAAAGTAAAGAAAATAAAACCTATCATATTCTTGTTTGTTAGCACACAAACCATAATCACTTCATCAAGAAGTTTGTTTAAATTTGCAATTTTGTCGGGATGTTAAACTCTTGTTATGCCTTATAATCCACATTACCTTCTCCTCTCCTTTATTCTCGGTATAAGATAAAGAATTATTATATCACGATTTTCTCAACCTGCGATATCCTCGCTTCCTTGCGCTTGCGCCGTTATTTTAAGATCATTGACCGTTAATGTATATTTAATTTTCGTATGTCGGATTAATTTTCTTATATGAGTTGTTGATCTTCTTGTTCTAGGCTCTTTTCATAAATTTTAAGAAATACAATGACTTAAATTGCTGGATTCAGCAAAGCAGTGTCAAGGAATATTGCAGAATCATTTAGTGGTCTGCATCTAATTATCTTGACGGATGTTTGTAAGATTGTGCACTCAATTGAGTACGCGAAAAAAATTATATCTATCTGTTTGGCAACTCTGCGTGCGTCTTCTAGTCGCGTTTTTATTCTGTGCAAGAAATATTTCAATTTTTTTAGTGTATTTCTTAGCTTTTTTGCTTTATTCGTGTTTAATTTTAAAAAATTCTCTAAAAGAATAAAGTGTGAATTTAACGTATATGAATATAATAACCATTTATGTGATAAAATCATTTTGCTTATTGTAAACAGCAATTGAGCTCTTAGTAAAAGTCTCTCTTTTTGCCTGTTAATCTGTGTTTACAGTTTCTTTAACTTTCGCTCTATATTTACAGTGGGCAGGGAAGTGTGAAATTTCCTGTAATTTTCCTGAAAATTTTTGTAGTGAAAAAAATTTTTTTTTTAGTTTTTCTTTTTTTCCTTCATAAGCTACTTTTTTTGTTTTCAATGGACGTGGATTGTTTATTTACACCATGTCGTGCGAAAACGGGCCCTGAATCTGAACGATTCATTTCTTGTTGGCTATGTGATCGTTTTGGACATGCAAAGTGTGCTGGTTTTACCGGCCGTGCTGCTGATGCAGTCCTTGACCCTTCTAGAGGTTTACGATGGTCACTGCAGAAAGCGGGACATTGACTTCTACAAACTTTTCACGGAGACGAGAAATTGGTTCTCAGATTTGAGCAAAAATCTCGGCTCTTTGTGGGAGAAATTTGAATTAAGCAAGACTAGGTTTGATGAGTGTCGTTATATTGCGCAGTCATCTCCCTCTCCAGCTAACAAAGTTTCAACTCGTAGCGTAGCGTGTGGTTCGTCACCTCTGAATTCACCTAAGTCCGTTCCGTCGGTGCAAGTTAGCGATTCCTTGAAGTCTAAAAAGAATGTTAGTGTTTTTGCTACGGCTGAAGCGGTCGGTAACATAAAAATTACAAAAAAGGCGGGAAGTCCTTCTGGCTTGAGCTATGCTGAAGTGGCAAGGGTATCTCCTCCCATTGATGTCACTCAATCTTCTCAGGCGTCATCGCCTAAAACTAATAGTGATAACAGTAAATCGTCCTCTCCTCCTGGCTGTTTGATTGTAAACGCTGGTCGCCAAACTGAGCACGTCGCACAAGGTGCTCGTGCAAGTGTGATTACCCCTTCTACATTTTCTCCAACTCATAACTCCCCGTCCGTCAACCTTGCTGCTCCTAGTACAGACGACTTATGCTTGAAAGCAGTTCCTCCCAGAAAGGCAATATTTGTGTCAAGACTGGCACCAGATACATGTGTTGATAGCATAAAAAGTTATCTGACAGCAAAAGCCCCTTCTGTCAAATTCTAGTTTCGACTGAAAATATGGATTTGATGTTAAATAAAGCATTGTGGCCGGTCGGATCCTTTATTAAGGAATTTATCCCTCGGGATCGACCGCGTAATGCTAATGCAGTAGCTCTTTCCCCCTCAAAAAACTAAATATTTCTTCAGGCTCATTTTCTCTCATTTATCAAAATGTTAGGGGCCTAAATTCAAAGATTCGTTCTACCTTCCTAAATTCAGTGAGCACGGAGCTTTCCTGTCCGGTCTTCACTGAAACATGGTTAAAGTCAGATCTACATTCGCCGGAACTTTTCCATAATTCATTTCAAGTTTTCAGAAACGATCGATTGTTTCGCAATGGTGGTGGTGTTTTGATTGCCATTTTTTCGGCAGTTCCCTCCTGTTCACTTGAATTTCCAACTACTCCCGACGTTGCATTTATTGTCATTCGAGTGAAATTTCCTAATAAACACTTATATGTGACCTGCTCCTACATTCCCCCAAATTCGGATATCTCTGTATATAAGAAGCAGGCCGTCTCATTTGTGAAGTGGCCAAGCAATCTAAACCTACCGATATAGTCATTGCGTTGGGTGACTTCAATTTGCCTCAAGTCATTTGGTGTTACAGTGATAGTTGTGGCTGTTTGATTCCCACCTCAACATCTGGTAGAGCCGTTGTGTTCTTTAATGAATTATTTGATCATAATTTAGTTCCATACAATGGTACCTCTAATTGCAACAGTAGATTGCTTGATCTTTGCTTTGCCAATTTTCCTGAGATTTGTGTTAATCGTTGTCTTCCGATTAGTTTACCTCAGGATCCATATCATCCAGCATTGGGTATTTCCTTTCATTACAAGCATGTTGGTTCGTTGAACTTCTATAACGGTCCAAATTCAAATTTTTCATATAAATTTTATGATTTCCATAAAATCAGTGTTTCACTGCTAAAATCACATCTTTCTCTTATTGTGCTTGATTTCTCAGTGGGAAGTATTGACAGCTTATTGTCGTCGTTCTACAATATATTAAATCAAGCTATTTCTGCATCTGTTCCGTAAGTGTCCCCCGTGCTTTAATAAAACAATTAAATATTACCAGAATAGGAAAAACAAGCTTTTCAAAAAATTTTCGAAGTAGAATCGCAATCACATCATCTTCAAAGTGATTTGAATAATTTGGTAGCATGGTGCCCTTTCAATCTTCTGAAACTAAATCTAAATAAATGTAAGCAGCTTTCTTGCTCAAGAAGAAAGTCATTGATTACTCAGTATTTCATAGATTCGCATAAGTTGGAGAACGTCGATTCAATAATAGATTTAGGCGTTCTATTTGACCATAGGTTACGCTTCAATTTGCTAATTAAGCTCTCGTTAAGCAAAGCTAGGTCCGTGCTTGGTTTTATAAAGAGATGGTCCAGAGAGCTTGATGATCCTTGTATTACGAAAAGGCTTTACATGTGTTTAGTTAGACCTATACTTAAGTATGCCTCTGTTGTGTGATCTCCTTCATATAGGTGCTATGTAGATTCAATTGAATCTGTTCAAAAGCAATTCTTGCTGTTTGCGCTTAGGAATTTGGGTTGGGACCCGATTACCCCTCTTCCACGCTATGAAAATAGGTTGCTTCTGTTATCCTTACCGTCACTGGAGAAACGTAGATTTGTTCTTGGGGTTTCTTCCATAATCAAATTGATAAATGGGACAATTGACTCGCCCGCATTACTTCGTGAAATAGGCTTTGATGTCCCTAACCGCTTCTCTAGGCACTTTATCTTGATAAAGCTTAGTCAATGCAAATATAATTACGACCTGTTTAACCCGCTCAGAGTTGTTTGCAAGAATCTAAATGACGTCTATTGCTTATTCTCATTAACGGACTTTTTAAAGTCCATTAAAGCAACATTGCTTAATCCCCGCGATTTACCTATGTCGTACTTCAACTAAATTTTAACTTCAAAAAGTGATTATGAGTCGTAAATTAATTGTATTATCGGTTGCCAAGCTTATTCATGTTTGCGATGGCTTAGGGATTCACTTACAATTTGGTCCTATACCGGTTGTGGGTGTGGCTCTATGCTAGTTGTGTACATACTTTTTTTCTTTTTTTTTTTTCTTATTTGTTTTATTGTACTTATACTAAGTTTTTGAACTCGATTGCCATTTTGTTTTAGTCGAGTTTCTAGTATAAGTGGAATAAATAAATAAATATGTAAATAAAGTGTTTTAATAGGTTCTTGCATTTCCAAAGTTGTAATATAAGAAATTTGAGAATTGTTATAATAAGACTGACTGGTCCTAAAATCATCTGCTTTAAGACATAGTTTTTTATCCGACACTATCTTTAGATTATAGTTAAATACAATTCATTTCTATATCCGTAGATAGTTTTTTTGTTTCATTTATCAAAAATTAATAGAAGACCATGCAACTTACCTGAGTTGGTGTTAAATGTATTAAGCTTGCCAAATGTTCCCTCTCCGGAGCAGATAAATAGCGTTGCTGTTTAAACCTTCTTTCTAATTCATACACCTGCAATTAAAGAATATGTAAATATTTTTGTATGTAGTCTATATTAATTCAAATTTATCATATCAGCTTAACAAAGACCGAAATTTTTTGCCTCTCTTTTAATGTTACTGTAATACATTCTTGAAATAACACGTAACATGTTTTTACATTGTGAATGTATACATAAGTATATATATAAAATGCAGTTAGTGCATCGTTTACACGCTGTGTGACGTCTCTTTTGTAAATGGAATGGAAAGAATATTACATTAAGTATACAAGCTTCGGGGGAACGATCAGAGATATATGCGATTATATGGTGACGTTATGTTGTGAAAACAACTATATTTTAACATTTTTCAAGCTTGCAATATTTCATAATAGATGATAATAATCCTTAACGTACGGAAATTTGTTTTGACTAATAGAATAGGCTGTTTTTCGCGAAGCACTGCAGGAAAAGATTGAAGTCCCATGTTTATCTTCATTCTTTAAAGAAGAAGGAATTAAATTTGTAGGTAGCAGCTTGATTTTTGCATAATGAAATCTGCCTAGACTTGCAAAAATTCAGCTTGAGTACATTTATGATGGTTGAATTAAATTTGACGCTTTTGTTTTGCTGTCTCTAACGGAAATAGGATTGCTGAAGTTCATCAAATCTATGGATGTAGCAGAGGAAATAATTGCAGCAGACATTGGTGAATAAGCGAAAACAGACAATGTCTCGATCGATTCTCAGCGAAACGCTCTTCAAGTCTTTCAATGTTCACAAATATCGCTTATTTTAGATAAATATCATTTTCAGACGCTCACAATTCATCTATTCCACATAATGCAACCGCTGAATGTAAACGTTAGATATTTATTTCTATGTGTGCATACGCAAAACGATTATTAATCGTCTTCAAATGATTACTACTAACTCATTGGATTAAATATTGGTGCTATGCATTGGTAAACAAAGTTATTTACATCCATATTCAAACTATAATGAAAAATGAATTTCGTATTTACAGAGCACTTCAAATTGAGAGTCTTCCATAAATACCAACAATTTTATGAGTCTGTATTGACTTTGAAGCAAAGAAAAAAAAATCAATATTTACATGGCTAACTAAACAACCATTCACAGCAATGTCCTTGCATTGCTGAGTTTTTATTAAACTTGCTAAATTTTTTTTTTGTGCTTTATATAAGTGGATAAATTCATTGCAAGAAGCTTTGTTTGCCTAACATATTACACATATATTGGCTATCAACGGCCCTTTATATATGGCTACATATTATATATACGTAAGCAGTAGATTCAGGTTGAGTTGCAAAATGCTGTATTGAAGTTGAATTAGAATGGATAAGTCACTTTAAGGTTCCATTTGAGACAAGTTGGTAGTACTCGTTTTAGAAAAAATTTATTAATAATAGGGATTCTCTTAGATTTACTGAATTTATGTACACTTTATATTTGACATTGAATTTAAAATCGCGTGAACAAATGATAGGAAGTTAAGACTATATAGGGTTATTAACATGTAAATAAATATCATTTGTTTAACCTGCCTTAGAGCGCTTTTCGTTAACTACAAGGCAGTAATGATAGCGAAGGCGATCGTCGAGAAATAGTCTCAGCAATATCTATTTGCCTGCTGGTGGGATTGTGATAATTAAAAATGATGCGCAGTATATTAGTTCATTTATTAAGATCTTAAGAAAAGGTAATTAAAATCTAAGTATACTTATAATAGAGCTGTAATGCTAGCGGAACGATATAAAATTGACATATTGTTTGCCGTCAGCGTCTTGTTGGTACCAGTTTCCTTCTAGTAATTCGTGTCGTGAGGCGATAATGATGTATGATGCTTGGATAGTATATGTTGTAGTCTTATGAAACCAAACAAGAGTATTTTCAAAAATCTGAAACAAACTAGGGCCGATTATATGACAAAGTGAACAGGTCATATTCGATTTTCCTCATGCTCCGGATTTTAGGATGAAATGCCATTTAGTAGGAGTAGTTGTACGTGATGAAAGATGGTGGCGAGTTATCGAAGGCAAAAAGAAAAAAGAAATAAAATTAATGCTTATAAAACCTAATGGGGTTTTTCTTCTTAAAAAGTCAATATGAATTTATGGCAAAAAATAGAAATTGGAGATGGCTCTCAAAAACGTCCATTAACACAAAACATGGTGGGTACATTTCCTAGGTTAAACGCATCAATAAGGTAAACTGTAGGTAAAAATGCAAATTTCCTGCGTTTACTTAACTTGGAAACATGACACAATATGAAAAAAGTGAGTTAAAACGCAACCTTGAGAATTCTTTGAGGAAACGAATATGTCAGCAAAAAAATCTTATTTGGAAAAAATATTTTATTCTCCATTTTTTGAATTAAAACAATGAACAACTGCAGTTTTATGCATATTACCTCTTACGAAGGATTGCGGATATTCATTTTGTCAAACGTTTTGCCAACATCAAATTCTGAATTGATCACCTATTCCACTGTCCCTTTGCGTTACGCATGCGGTAAACATTTTCCTGATCGTAAAAATGAACATATCGGTTTCAATTTTCGCAGGCACATTAGAAGTTGTTGCACGCAGTTTCATAGTGAAAATGAGTCAAATCACTCGAAGGGCACGTCTACCTTGAAACAGAAACTATGCACAAGTGTGATTTTTCGTTTTTTGCTGTCAAGTCACAAATTACAGCAGATTCGTATATTGTACAAAATGAAAAAAATTAGCCACGGTGACCTTTTTTCATTTTTTTCTTAAACTAAAGAGGTGGGTATAAAAGATTCGGCTACAGTCAAAGTATAAGCTTCATAGAGACATTATTAAATTTCTTTGGACATGGCTGCCACTTCTTTGTTCGCTTCAAAGAAGATTAATTTGGTCCCTTGTTCATAGACCATTTTCCATACGTGTATAAAGAGATAAAATTTTCATGGAAACAAGATGGTGATGTGTAATAGTTATTCGAAACAAAATAAAATAAGTAATCTTTAGAAGTTATGTGGTAAAAACAGTAGTGAACCATAGTCCGAAATTTGCAACCTTTTAGAAGGAACAAGTCATATAAAGCACATATTATAAGGAAACTGACCTGAGCTTGTGTGAAAAGTACTCTCCTCTTCCTTCGTTGTGTTAAGGGAAATTGAAGTGGTTTTGCATCACTAACTGTACACGTTGCTAAGCTCCCCATGTTGCTCATATGTCCCATAGACCCAGTTGCAGTACTGCCCATTAATCTAGATACTAAAATATAACAAGAGTGAAAAGTAAAAATATGTGTAAATGAAGCTTTAAAAATTTTAATTAAATTTTAAATTTTAAATTAGGTTAAAATTTAAGTGAACGGCCAGGTAAGAAATTTTTATTAGGATGATTCTACCTGGAAAGTAACACCAGTCAAAGTGTCATCTCTTTCTCTTATACTATTCCACTTATTTATAGTTGGTAAATCCCAATACACTTCCTTCCTACAATATCAGTCAAGTATAAAATATGTAGCCCAACTGCCGCAAATTTATTTGAACACTCTATATACATCCCACTTGTTTCTTATTGAAATCACCCCTTTGAAGGCTTGAAATACGAGAGAAATGAAACAATTAAAAATTCTTCCTCAAAAATATTGACAATGTCAAGCCTATATGTAAAAAATGCGAAACAATACCTATTTTATATATGTATTTATAGTTATTATAATATTCTCAGAAGAAGTATAAAACCGAACGGGCGAGTTTATTACAATTTTTATAAAACAATTAATTTTAATAAGTATTCAGATTCCAATAAATGCTCTAACAATAAGTAATTTTAAGTTTTGCTTCGCAATATATACGAAGGCTATAACATTGTACTTATGGCGAACATAATTCATAATATATGTTTTAACGTAGTTCTGCATGATTCGTTAATACATTTCCTGCAAAATATGCAAAGAGCAGAAGAAAACTAGAAAATTTTATCAAGCTTTTTCGAGTATTGTTACGAATCCCGTCAAAATGGAACGAAGGGCATTCCAAGACGACACATCAGACCCACTATAATTTCTATGGACTATCAAGAATAATAAGTTCCAACAAAATATGGATACAGTCTGTTCGGAAATAACTAGCTGTTCTAAGCAGATGGTCTAAAACTGTACATTGTTACAATAATGTAGCTTACACATATCATCAGCTGTAAAATTGCAAGAAATCATAATTTTTAGAAAAGTGTTATATGCTTTGAGTCATTTAATTCAGCATGCATGTAATTTGTCTGCTTTTCGCGTAACGAAAATGGGATAGCGGATAAGTAATAAGAATACAGTAAGAAGATTCTAAACTGTATAATGGTATATTATAAAAATGTTTATTTGAGCTGCAATGCGCTGGAATTTGTGTAGAAGTTTTAAAATATCACTTTAAATGAGAAAATATAAGTGAAGAATTATTATAATAGTACTTGAAGAAATTTCATATTACACTAACACTACTTCTTATAATTAGTAATTGGAGTATGATGGCAACACTGCGCTTAATTGTTATTATAACTCGGCTTGTATTTATGTGTCTGCTCATGAGGTCTATATTTAATAAGTAATAGAAATGCGAAAGAAAAAAATAAAAAAAGTTTTATGATCATAAAATCCAGCAAATCAGTTTGACTGGTGAAACTTGAGTTACAATGGATAAATTAAAGTACACTGCCCAATCAACCAAAATTTTGCCGTCGTTTTGAACGATACGTCTTTCTTTATCCAGGGGAGTACTTTCTGTTCAGATCGAATATAGTCACTCCTTACAAGATAAACGGAGTTTATTAATTATGGTAAGTTCCCTTTATGCGGATTTACGGTTTTATGCTTCTTTAATGTGGAATTTGCAGTAATTATAACAAGCACATTGAGTTTATCATCAATGAATATTAGATCAATTTAAGCTACAGCAATTAGTAAAAAATTTGCGAAAACGAAAGTCCGCAATATACTTTACGTTAAAAATATGAATTTGTTAAAAAATATTAACACAAAAATTCAAAAACAAATATGCTATACGCATAATAATTCAGTTCATAATTAAAGCTATCAAACAAGGAAGATAATAAAGCGCAAATAAAGACGCTATGTGTAAAGCGGCTGTGCTGCTATAAGCAAGCCAACGAAGGAGCAACACAAGTATGCGAGAAAAGAAAAACCAATACGACAATTACATTCGGTCGTGATCGAATCTTTTATACCTAACATTATTTACGCCAAAAAACCGCAAGAGAAGCAAAAGAATAAAATTTTCGTGCTTTTTAATATGAAACGGGCGCAGCTGATTTCTTCTTCTAATGTTTCTGCCGCATTTGAAGTTGATAGCTTCATCTTTGCGGTCAGGAGAATGTTTACAACAGACATTGCATAGACGGACAGACGGACATGCTTAAAGCGATTTAGAATTTGATCCCAATCAAGAATATATACATTGTGGGCTCTCTGACGCTTGCTTCTGAGCTTTGCAAATGTTTTGACAACATGAATATACTCCTTATCCTTCGATGATAGGTATAAAAATGAAAAGAAAGTATGAGTATACCCCTGTCCTTCCTGCGATCGCGCGTTTTTATTTAGTTCTTCATCTATCTCTTTTAATTATTTCAATATAACCCTCTTCACAACGTTTCCTTCGTTAGTGTTTTGCTTTCAGGTGTTTTTTACACCCATCACAGAAGGATATGGGTATATTCATTTTTTTTCATAATGTATGTAACACTCCAAAGGAAACTTCAGAGACCCTATAAAACATATATACTCTTGAACGGTGTTCAATTGAATTACCCATGTCTGTCCGCCTGTGCGATGTTTGCTCTTGGCACTCTCTTGGTCGTATAACTGAAGATAGCCACTTCAAATTTAGTAGGACAAGTGGAAGTCTTAGCACGCAAGTTGCTATTGAAAAAGGGACAAATCAGTCAGAGCAGAGACTCGTAGTCGAGCAGAAACCGGTAGTCGAGCATAAACCGAATGCAACTCCGTCTTTCCCAATAAAAATTTGTGGCTTTTTGGTCGTTATGTAGAAATTATAAAAGCTAGAAGGTTGAGATTTTCCACATTTACTTTGCGAAATACTCGACTCTTTGCGTGCAAAAATGGGCTAAAACGGGCATGCCCACACAAATTTACAAGTGATTCAATTATATTTTTTCTTTTTTTAAGTGTTATTTGTAATTATCATAACCCAAAACAGACAAAATGTTTACAACTATATCGCACATTCTTCAAATGAAGATATGTTATCTGCCTGAAAATGGGTTAATTCTAAAATGAATATGATATAGACCGCGACTACTTCCTTTTGAATAATCAAATAAAAAAATTTGGAGAGTAGCAAATATTTGTACGTTACAACTTTTTCTTATATTTGACGCCCACATATAGCTTACGGCTTAGCGAAAGTAGGCATAATTGAATCAAAAATTGCATTGAATGTTTAATGCTATTGAGAGTAGACTTACTTGCGAATCTTGGATCATTGGCTGTTGTTCCATACCAAGAAGCTGATGACCGCATATCACTGTAATGTCCTGCCAAAGATAAATTTTCCGTTGGTCCACAGTAACTTTGTACACCTGGACTGTGATACAGTGATCCCATTGTGTATGGATTAGCCATTGTGGATGAACCTAAGGTGCTAGGAGAATTGATACTACTACCGCTAGAATTTGACCTAAAATAAAAAGAACAGAAATCGGTTTATGATTTGGAAAGCTTGCGAATATTTAAACGTATAAATAGAAGCTGAACTTATATGAGAACTTACGCTAATCTATATATTTTTTAGTCACTGATAAACGGTCTCAGTTAACCTAAAAAAGGAAATCCTACAAAAATAAGTCAAAACAAATACCTGTATCGTAGTTTTTGAGATATATTTTATAGGGTTCGCACATTATTGACAAAAATATGAAGAAGTACTGATTTTTTTCAGCGTCGTTAATTTGGCAGTGGGAGCAAAAAAGTGACTCAAACTGATTCATTTTGTTAAAAGTATATAAAAGTCATCGCTGTCTTTAAACCTATAGTTAGTGGAGAAAGCGAAGCTAAAGTATCTGCAGCTCTTTCCACATAAATAAAGATTCTCAAAGCTGCTGAAATCAACTCGAACGTTGAACAAAATCAGGGTAATATACACCTTGTAACATGTGGTTGTACTTAATAATTTTTATTAAGAACATAACCTTGCGTTGCAGGAACTATTAAGCTCAGACATGAAAAGCAGTTTAACGTTGAGGAGATTTTGGCGTGGCTGTCGGAATATTTCATTGCTTATTTTTGACAAATGAAATAAGGAAAAAAAAAGGAGAAATGGGGAGACCGACTTAGAGAGCAGACAAGATTTTGTTAACCACTCTTTGCATTTGTAAACTATCAAATTTTATGTGTTGGATATAAACTGCCCTTGGCTGAATACAAACCACTCTACTAAGCACAAATGTACTGTGATTTGATTAAAGAGAATTTATTTCAATGAGCCGTCCTAACGAATTAATTCCATTTGATTAAAGAATGCTTTTTTTGACGGGTTATGCCGAATTTATGTTATTTGAATATGTTGCTTCATTTATTACGCGTGATCTATGATTCGATGCTCACTTATTATAAAACAGTTAAGCAATAAAAAAGATGTAAGTATGTTATATACATTTATATAAAACGATTTTATTTCTGTTATAAGTAAGAGTAGTTTTACATATATACATATTTACATAAATACCCAATGGTTGTAAATAAGTGAATTTGTCTGTCATTATTATATATTTAAAAATGTGAACTATTGAATAATATGTAAGAAAAGAAAAAAATGAAATAAAATATAGTGTCCTTAAATTTGAGAAGAAATTAATTTAGGGGTCTTCGGATTAAACTTCGGAGCCTCCCATATACGTCATGGACGGAAGGAGATCAGTAGTTATGGCATGATAGAGAATATCTCCGGGCTGAAAATATGCATGTTCGGTAAGATAGGTTTCGCCTGTTCGTCTATTCGTGTAAGGGTTAAGAATGTACTTTTCTTTTAAGTGTAAACGTCTGAAGAGTGTCTGCAAGATCGAAATTAAAAGACCTCCACATCTCTCGCATTAGCTCGCTCAGCTAGTGCACGTACGACAGTCTCAACAGTCTCTGACCCTCACAAAGCGGCGCTGAACAGTGCTCGATCTTTCAATTAGTTGGGCGGGTATGAAAACTTCGCAGACATCGTGTGCTACAAATGCTTATGTTAAATCAACATAGGTAGCTAATTGCAGTGTTTGTTTATTTTAGATGAATTTGTAATCGAATGAAGCACATTTTGCCAATTTTGATCACTGCCAATGATCTAAATGGTGATGGGAGAAGTATTCTGTGCACTATAAGTTACAATTTTTTCGCTTGTTTTGCGTGATGTGAAGATGTAGCCTTCTTTATTATTTGCATGAGCGTTCCAAAAATAAACGCTGGGCGCAAGGGGGGACAGATTAAGTTCAGATGATTGGGAATCTTGCGCTAGTCAAGAATTATGTACTTTACGGGAATTACATCTCTTGAGTAATGAATGTTAATTAACAATTACTTTAAGCAACGGGTCCTTATCGAAAAAGACTTATTGCAATAAAAGTTGAGTGAAGCTAAGTTAATGTTACTGGAATACATTGTCAACGAGTGCAATGTCGTTGTATTCATCAAAACTAGGGGACTACTTAAGAGAAACTTTTTAAAGAAGTTGGTTGGAGGAGTGAATGGCAACCATGGAACGAATAAGAATGCTATATTCAGTATTTACACATATGCACATTTAATTTCGATGGTATCGAAAATCTTGTCAGAAACTTATACTAAGAACTTCCTCCATATGCTGGCGAGTAGAGTGTAAAGTTCAACATTACCTTGAGTGATTTTGTTAGATGTAATCTTTAATCGATAACGTATAAAGTTGGAACAGGGAGGCGAACTTGCCACGTAAAATGTCTACATTTTGAACATTATTATTTTTTTGGGCTATGTCTTGTGATTGTTTTGTATGCTTAGCAATCGCTTGTTGTAAAAGAGTTTTTGTTTACTTTTCACATAAGGACGCATCTTATGTTTACAAATAGTACCAATGAAATGCTATTCAAATATATATTAAATATTCTTCTATATAAATTTTAGATTTGCTAACAAAGGATAGATTTGCTTCAAAATAGAAATTCGAATGCTTTTCTATGGGTATTCAGTATTATTAACGACGATAACAGTTGTATCAGGCCAATAAGAGCGTTAAATTATTGTGCGAGGGCTTAGTATTAAGAAACGATAATTTAATTTTTTTTTATCAAAAGAAAAAATAGAAACTTCAGAAAAATTGAAGAATATAAAGTAGTCGTTTACAGGAATTTGCCTTTGATTTTCATTTCCACTTTGGAATCTCGGTTTTATTTTTAGCAAATACTTTTAGCACATATTTGTATTCTAGGCCAATGTTATATATAAGGCGTGTATTAAAGCTTTTCCTTTACTGTGAGATTGTATTTTGCGAGTAAGATTTAAATGATCCTAGCGATTATTCCTCTTAAGATTAGATTATTATTCGGTTTAGATTAAAAGTTACCATTTTCCAAATTGGAGACGCACCCATAAGCATATTTACCAGTTTGTCAAACGTAAGTTGAATAAGAAGAAAAATATCAGACGAAGTTTGCTCTCGCGGAGAAACAGCAAGTTTAAATCGATGTCGCCTCTTAGGTGGGTCGATATATTATGTTTGCTGCACTTATATATTTATTAGCTCGTCGATTCGCATAGCAATAATGCGATATACCCTTTTAACAGTCACCTATATCGGAATCACAGTCTTCATTTCAAACGTAAGTTCTGCACTCAGTGCTATGTTTGCACTAAGTGAGTCAAAACGTGGAGCAAGGAAAATCAACTGTTCTTACTTAAATAACTATAATCTTGCTAAGGTGAGCTTGCCATGACCATTGTCAGATATACAAGAGCACATATCATTTTTGTTGATGCCATTTATGTGCACAAAGTGACCAAGGCTTACGTTTACATATTTTTGTACTAGTGAATGTCCTTTAAGTCGCTACGACTAGCGCATCACATTATTTATATTAGGAGTGCGTCAGTAAAGCTATTCACGAAATAGCCTCTAAAGTAATAATTAGTGAATCTACAAGCTAATTTTGGATGCACTTTAAAGTCCTCAATGTGCAAAAATATTGATACATATATTTGTCAATATAATGATATCATTCATATTGAAACAGTACCTAAAATTTTAATAGTTACCGATAAGGCGATGGTGGGTTTCCGTTTATTTCCAATTTTCGATAAGACTCTTCAATCGGACTTAATATATCAGTTACACTGAAAGGCGTTGAATGGCTATTATTGAAAAATGAGTTATGCTGATTATGCAAATTCTGAAGATGGTGTATATTCGAAAAGTTGTGTTGCTGATGTGCGACTGCAACTGCTGGTGAAGAGACATGGACTGGAGACGAAATTCCCGAATTTTGTTTAAGAAGATGTTGTTCGATATTATGAGCTTGAGAAATTGAAGTTGATAAAGATGACTTTGGCGATAAACTCATTACCAAATCGACTCCATTTAATTCTCTTAACAAGTTGCTATCTTCTCGTTCTGGATCCCCCGCAAAGGCTTCAGCGTTATTTTGATTATCTCTAATTGTTGTAGCTGACATACGAAATGGTTTTATTTACGAAATTTGTTAATATATCCCAATCCTGAAAAGATCGGAAACGTAAGGCTATGTAAATCACAGATGCATTTTTATTTTTACAAGATGCACATTATCACGCTTGTTCATAGCGTATGTGCAATAAAGCTGTATAAGGCTTTTGGTTCATTTTGCTGTTCCATAAAACTCTTAAAACTTTTTTGCTATTCGGTTATAGTTTTAGCATGGTGACTGCAACCAATATCGACGAGTCAGCGAATATGGCGTATGTTCATATTAAATGGCAAATCGTATTTATAGGTAAATACAACATAAGACGTCAGTAAATTCTTCGTGTCGTGGTCACATCTCGTCATAGGCATATTCATTTTCCTGCATTCCCGTTCATCCTTTTATTCGACTTTAAAACTTTTAATGCAAAAGATTGTCTATCCAAAGCATTCGATTTATCTATGAAAGCGCGTGAGCTGTGATATAATGCATATCCAATAGGGACGAATTGCTTACTTCTCAAGCGACATATTTACGGACGGAATTCATCTTTAAAAGAATTTAAAAAGATCTAAACACAATGCGAGCGTATGCGGTATATACTACAAACTCGATGAACTTGATACGACATGGCTGTACGGGTTTGACCGTAGTTGAATTCAGCTTCAATAGCTTGCATGCATCATTGCAACAATGCATGTAGATGATCTAGCAGTTGATGTAAACAACAGAAAATCATACAGTTAGTTCTTCAAGTACCTTATGATTTTAATGCATTAATGTAATGCAAACCGTATTTTCTGGCTGCTTAGTGCGTTGCATCACTGCAGCTAGGCAAAATGAATATGCGTGCATAATTTGGAACTGTTAAGACCGAGCCTGCAGCAACAAAGCAAAATAAAATATGCACGTATTGTAAAGTTTAAAACAAAGTATGTATACACTTATGTGCCATTGTTCTCCTTCTTATTACATAGTAATTAAATGATCACATTGTTCACCTCAAAATTGTAGCTGATCCTTCACTAGTAATTTTTTAGAGTAATGAAATAAATTCTTAGATTAAAAAAAAAAAAAATTGCGCAGTAACAACAGGCGCTATCGACTCTATTTTAAAAGAGAAAATTAGATATTAGGTCTAAGATAGGATTAGATAAAGATCTAGTAGTTATAGTAAAGCAATATATTAACGTTCCCTAGCTGATTTCAGGATGTGGGCAGGATTTATTATTGCAGTTTATGAGTAGTCAGCATAAGAACCTACTTATTTTGCTTTTGAAGTCCGAGGAGTTTTAATTTTACTGCTTGTGTGTTCTTTGTCAAATTTTGCTAATTTTCAATACCAGCCTGGCTGCAACAAATTCCAAAATGTTGTAATGTGAAGCCGACAACTTATTTTTGCGATCAGGACCACATTCATTTACGCTTCAATCGATTCAGAATTTGATGGTAATCAAAAACACATATACTTTGTGGGGTCTATAAAACTTTCTTTTGACTTTTGTAGAGGTTTTCACAAAATGAATAATCCCCTATTCTTCGGTGGTGGATATTAAAACACGCACATTTAAGCTAATAAATTTACAAAACTTGTTTTTGTGCATACATACACAATTTGGCGTAAATTGCGATAAAGCAGCGGCACAGGATAAGTGGATAAATAATCGTAAGAACACATTTGTCAAAAATACCAAAGTATACCTGCTGCAACATAGCAACAGCAGCAAAAACAATATATCTCAAGCTATTGGAGTTGCCAGCCGACACTTCCCCTCATAACTTACGTGAGTCACAAATCACCGTTGCATAAGAAAGATTTACTATTAGCGAAAGCACCGGTTTGAACATCCTGACATATGGATTTTGCGGTTTACATGCAAGCAGATAAATTCATGTCCGTAGAAGAGAAGGTTATCTATCAAAACAGTGGCTGTTGTCATTATACTACCATAAGAATGGACGCAAACTGAATGCTGTCGTCTTCTACTCAATTTGGTCACTTTGTTTCTCTGAGGTTCTGAATTGGAAAAAAATATCTGGGCAATATGGAATATTAAACGAAGTGCTTTAACTAGTTAATAATGTCTAGCTGCGTTACACAACTTCGCTGTTCTCATTTCTATACACGGTTCCTTCAAAAACGATTGCATGGTCCATCCTAGTATCCTAGTAGCTTTCTTCTGTATTCTAGGATATCAGAGGCAAGTTTTTTGAAAAGATGTTGCCAAACAGACTATAAAAAGATTTAAAGATTCATCAGCTAAACGTTCGAGTTTTTTTAAACATAGTAGTTAATAAGACGAGCTTGTATACATAAACGTCTTTCGTCTTTGCAAAGCAATTAAGAATAGATAATGATGAGAATGGGATATACTTTTGTTCGCCAAAGTCGAACTACGAATTTTGGGAAATCCAATGATTTCCTGCGCGTGAATACAAGAGCTATTTGTTTAGCTTTAGGAGAAGGATAGATATACACTAAATGCATAATGCAATTCTTAAGAATTTGGAAATTTAAAAGTAGCGGTTAAATATCCCATAAAATGTACGTGTTCTGATTCAGCGTAAAGTATTGAATCTACTTAGCCATAATTGTCCCTCCGGTTTTCTGATTTCCGTTATTAGAATGCTAACAATTGCATTTAGAATATATATTCTTAGTCAACGACTTTAGAAAGAACTTGACGAGCGCGATGTTTTCAAAAGAACCTCACAACTGGCAACAAAGCTGACAATCCTTAGCGGAATATAACATAATATTGCAAAAACGGTTTTAATCTACAAACATTTCTTACTGTCAGATAAAATCAATTGATATACCCACAAATAAAATTAATAAAATATCTTGCAATCTTCATGCAATATGTAATAATTCTTTTGTTGCACTGAATTATATACGTTGTACATACAACAACGGCGTGAGCATAACAAATTAAAAAAATTCGGCAATGGAATTAAAGAACTACAAGTACTTAATGCCTCCTATAATGCGCTATACGGCACAAACGGTGTACGCAAAATTTCGAAAAAAAGTTACGCATCGTTGTATATACTACACTGTTCACAAAGGATGTATTAAATTCAGGAAATATAAAGTGTAAAATGTTGCATCTAGTAAGAGGAAAAAGGTTAGTCGAGTACATAATTGGAAACTAATAATGAAGACAGAAAGTTTTATCAGAACGAATGGTAGAGAAACGTACAGTTCAACTACTAAAAAAAAGAGGTTTTGAAAGATAAATGACATAGAAATTGACAATATAACCTTTTTAGTAAAGGACTTTAGGCTGACTTGTTATCGTGGATTTTTACGCAAGAATACTGTAGAAACTAACTGTATTATTTTGAGTTAAAATATTGAACGTCACTTCGCGCGTTGGAGCTAATTTGCCCATTTTTAACTACATTTCATTTTTGTGGTATTATGTGGATAGTCGGAATGAACCAAATAGAAAGAGTATTTTTGGAATTGACTGGAAGGCGCCATATAATTTTAATAAGCTTTGTTAACAACGTAGTTATAATTTGTTATATATTCTACTTGTAATATATTATCTCTAGCGTTACTATTACATTTCCATTATATTCTCGTTTATATATATGTGTACACAATTGCCATGAATGGATAAATATAAATGCCATGAATAGATAAATATCAGTATATTATAATGACATGCACAGGATCTTTGAAAAGCGTTGTTGCCTAGGTAACGTCACGTGGATTGTTATAAAATCATACTCGATGATATTATGTAAATGATACTCGTTTGCGTTCTTTACGTGAATGCGCTGCAAACTCTAAATCGATCGTTTTTCCACGTCATCAGAACCGACGTGTACATGTTTGTTTAAAAGAAAAAAGAAAACTTGGAAAGTCGTACAGCGATCCTTAAAGTTTGAGTTCATGTGAAGAAAATTTTTAATAGTATTTATTTAATGTGTTACGGAATAAAATTGAAAAAAAATAAGCATGAGAGTAACATGTGAAGACCCGCTGGATGAATTAAGTTGGTTTACCGAAAGACGCCGGATCTCAAATGAGTCAATGCGATGATTGTCTAGTGAATTAGATATCAGAAAGATAAAGACAAGAAAAACTTTAAAAGCCTTACTTCTGAAGAACTAACATCAATTTTGTATATCAAGTTGTAGAATGCGCAGGGTTTAGATACAAATCTAACAAGAATGTCCAAATCGTTAAAATAGCTGGAAATGAAATTTTTTATTTAAGATTTTGTATTATTCTAAGCATAATTCGAAGTGGATGTGATATGTTTTGCTGCATATAATCAATAGAGTGTCTACATTAGTTGTAAATAATGCTAAAAGTGCCGTCGCGTATCTCGAAGGAGAACTTCAATCAGCTTTTTTTCATTTTTATGGAACTTCAACTAGCTTTTTTCGTTTTCATAGCACACAAATGGCAATATATTTATGAAAAGGAAAGACGAAGCAATAGGTATGCACCATACGTCTGCCTTTCTACGCATTACAACAGTATATTTTCTTTCCCCTACAAGCTAATATGTGATGTCATTAAATGTTCCGAGAGACTCAGATCTTTTAATGAGTGTATGTCCTTTGTTAAGTACTGTGAAGGTATTCCTTGAGCTCACAAATGATGGTAGAGACAATGTGCGCTTAAATGTTGTTAAAGAAAAGATGCTAAATTTGCCTATTTTCGCTTTTATTCAGATCCAATTTAGTGAATGAATTTAGAGCTAATTTACTTTTGGTTGTTTCTATATTAATTTTTTCTATCTGCTCGTAGTTGAATATTGAAACATTTTTGAAGACTCTTTCAATTATCCACTAAGCCCCTTGTAAGCTCTTGACAGCCTCGAAAGTATCTCTGTCTCTTTTCCCTCTCTCCGTCCTTCTCTTTCTATTTTTCTTTTTGTGTACTTATGTGCAGCCCTCCATTTGGCGTGTGCATATAAGCGATTTAAATTAACAAAAAATTTTAACCGAAAAGTTGTTTTAATTATGCAAAAGACGTTTTTAATTTATATAACGCTTACTACACAACTTAATTGTTCAAGTTACCTTCAATACAAATTTTGATCGATTTTGTAGCAAAATAATCACTTTAACTCGGTTGATTTTTATATTTCTTAATATGGTTTTTAATTCTCGTACAATGTTTTCCGTTGCACAAATTTGCTCAATATCTATGTGTATTAAGTGTATGTATATACGTATATTTTAGGCAAAGGATCATTTTTGTTATTGTTACATTTATCTTTTCATTATTTGCTATGAAGCAGCTGTTGTAAGAATTTTATCATTGTACTGCATAAACATTATACCAAGTCATAAATGATTGCTAATCTCGCAAATTACACGGAAATGATAAATATTTATGAAAGTACTCGTACAAGAAAATATCACCAAAACGAATTTGAATTACGGTATTGTAGCGTCAATAGAATAACATTTCATTTCTTGAAAATATATTGTTCAAATACTTTTGATTTCAAACACTCGCATGAAGAACCCACATCAGTGAATTTATTATGAATAACCACTCGACACGATTCCGTCAAATGAAACAAGAGGTCTGTACAGTACTGACGAGTGCTTCTCAGATGGCTTCTGGATAGCCCTCGAATAAGTTTTTCTTATTAAGATGAATCAGTTTTCAATGTTTTTGGAAAGTATGCTCGGCTCATTAAGTGGTCGTTGTTCGTCCTACCAGCTTGTTTGCTCTCGTCCCCCATATGCACTCATACTGATACTGGTAGTGTCATCCCTCTTTTATTCAATAATCACATAGTGTAACAAACATGCGTCCACCAATACGACACACAACATCTCATGATTGGGCGAATCATCATTGACATTGCGTATAAATTGAAAATAAAATATTTTTATACATACAAAGTATTGTGAGCGAGGCGCACATACGTGCACTGCCAGAAACAAAATTTTGTTTGTAAGCGAATCCAATGCCGAATTAACGAAATGATTTAATGGCCTCTTTTAATTGGTGGATTGCAAAATTTTTTGTCTCTGTCAGGCAGTATTTTGATTGGATAAATTTATATCCCCGACGAAGATTTTATCAAAAACATATTCTCTTGCAAACTTACTTATATGCTAATTGTGTCGAATGAATAGTAACATAAACGAGTTATTTGGTGTCTCTTTTCCACAAATTTTAAGCGGTTTGGTTTTTTTAAATGCATATGTACACATGCAAGCATAAAATTTCAAGCTACGCGAAATAGACTGCATAGTTCGATGGCAATTCGTTTTGCTTTCACTATCGTACATAACAATGACAATTGATGTTGAGGACGGTATTTTCACACAATACAACAATAAGCATAGTGATTCAAGTATCAACTTGAAAGCTCTCGTAATTCACAAATAGCAGCGCATTCAGGCGCAGTGCAATACATATGCACATATCGAAAAATACAAAAATTTATTTCTACGTTAGCATATGCGTGCACATTGGTCTCGAGTTACACGTTACTTCATTTCTCTTTTTTCCATACACAACCGTCTATTAATTCTTGTAATATATTCGTACTGCACGTAAGATTCTACATAGGCTTTATGTTCTTTTCGTCTTTATAGCTTTCTTATTCTTTTTAAATCCATGGTATTTTTAACAGCAAGCAGGCTTAACAAAAATGGGAAAATCATCTTCGATTTATTAGAAATCTCGAATGCGCACTTTCTATGGTCAGAACTACCGTTGATATAATTGCGAATCAATAGTGGATAAGAAGAGAAACATCCTTTATTATTTTTAGTGATTCCATCGGGAAGACCATTTGAATTGTTTTACACAAGGATTGCATTTTATTCTGATCGGATTTTTTTGATGGAAGATTGACTGTTCTCACCTCCTTAAACGGCCCCGTATATTCTAATTGGTAAGTTTTCCGTGTGGTTTGTCATTATAATTTCGATGCTACGAGAAGGAGAAGGACAGGCATGGTACGAGTAAGGTTTTTTTTAAAGCGAATTAGTTTCGAAGTAGATTAGATCAAAAGTCTCGGACATTATAGCGAACATATATAGCGCAAATCAAACCAAATGTCATTTTTTTATATTGACGAGCATTTTCGCTTCCGGACAAACTGTGTTTTACTCTCTCGATTGATCACATATTTTCATTTTCATATAAATTGCATTGTGAAACTAAAAACCTCGCCCTTGATTTGTGCTTGCGAATAAAGATTGTAATTGCTTAGGGAGTTACTAGATTGAAAGACCCGTAAATGGAAGTAATGAAAAACCATTAACTTCAGAGAAAACAATTAAGTTGCTAATTTTCACTTTTATTCGTATTTCATTTACTACGGCTTTTCTAGTTACCTTGTATAAACAAAATTTTTTTTATTAATTATTCATGCAGCAGTTTTTAACATATGTCCTTTGCCTGGTAAATTCAGTAAACAGTGTAAATTAATATTAACTTTTGTGCAAATCGAACGAATAGCACGTTTTGTACGTAGGCATATTCGAAATTTGCACTTATACATGTACAAATACTTACCCTGCAAACATTTTTGACATACGTTTCATAATTTTTATAAATTTTGTTCGTAACTAACCTATCAATTCATAATAAAAGTGGACGTGATGTTTGATGCCTTCTTAATGTAGCTTATGGTTTTACACGTTAAACAGTGATGTTGTGTAAAACCCTGGTGCCAGGAAGCCGTTGGTATATTTAATAATCGACGTAGAAATTTATATATTTCTCTCTACGACGTTTGGTCACATATATACATAAGCTAAAACCCCAATTAGAGTAGATTCGATCCAAACTTCTCTGTCACCCCTATATTCATTTTTTTTATTTTGTTAATTTAGTTAGTGGATGAATATCCATCAAACATTGTAAAGTAAACATATTCTTAATCACCATTCTCAAAGTCAATTCGGACAACGTTCGGAAACATAATTTTTCGCCACATCGTAAATGCCAATTAATTGTCTTTTTTTAATGCAGAAAAATTGTTGGTACGAAAATGCACGAGCCGCTCTTGGCTGCGGGATTTTATTCATAGTTTCATGCAAATCAATTCTTTAAAAGATTGAAATGTGCTTGTTTGAGGACCTGCAGCAGATGTGTGTTAAACCTTCAGGTACATCGATTGTTTAACGGTGTTATTATTTGTATTAACATTGTACGTCTACGAAAATAGTATCTACGTCATTCAAATCGGGCACTTATTCAATGCTACAAGGACGCAAGGCCGTAACAATTTGAAAACTTAATCTGATGATGTAATTATTTATATCAGAATCATATGAAGCAAGTGCAGCTTTAAAGACTTTACATACACCTTAAAAAGTAGGAATATTGTGCAACTTACAAATATTAGGTTTCTGCTACTATTTTCTGATGGTTTCTCCTGTACAAATAAAAATTAAGAATCTGTGGAGATGAACGATTTGTACTTGAAAACGGATTCAAAGTGAAGAAATTGCAATACTTCTAAAACCTTATTAGACATGCGTTTAGTAACCAGAGAAACTTTTCCAGAAAAAGACACATCAGGGGAAATCGACGACAAATTATCTTTTTAAGCAAATTTTTTACTTAAAACAGAGACTTCCTCTCTAATTCTGGCCAAAGTTTTTATATCAATTGTTCTTGCTTTATTATCCTCATCCACTAAGAGAGCAAATGTACCCATTTTCGTCCATCTGCCTATGCCAATGGGGAATTAAAAAACTTGGACAAATTGTCTAATTGCTCATCGTAAAGATTTTATTGTAGTTTATGTGGCAATAGCCTTGGATTTATTTGCAGTAGTTTTCAAGGCATACAACTCTCACTTCGTCAACTATAGACTTATATATATGTATATATTACAATAAATACTTTTTATCGCACTCGAAACGAATCAATTAACCTAAGAACTCTTCTAACGTAAAATAAACACGTAGGGACTAATCTCTACAACATCAACTTTGTCTTAATAAATTTTTTCTAAAAGAATACTCAACGATGGAACTTAGAAGTCTCAGACAATGTAAAAGATTCTAAAAATTTTTTTTTTAACATCAAAGCAGGAGAAGAATTTCTTCCTTCCTTAATAATATTGAAAGTGCATGATTAATAAAAAAAAGAAAGCGGATGGTTAAAATTAGTCGTTTTATTTTTGGTTTTACAGAGAATGGAGTTAGATTGAGTGCTTCTAGTTTAGAAATATTTTTGTTGGCTCGTTTCTAGTAGTTTTATATATTGCGTTGGAACTAATAAAGCTAGTGGACAAGTTAGATCACTTCTATTTAACAAAATTTGTGGGCGCAAGGGAAAGTAATGTAGCAATCACGTTGCACCATAGCCTGTTCATTGTGGACAGTGGAAAAAAAATTTGCTATATCCCTTGTAGTTAATTGTCGTGCGGTTATATGGTGACTTCATGACAAACATTTTTTAATAGATGAAGCTTCTTATGTGTTAAACAAACGCTAACCTAAAAATTATTTACGATTTCTTTGCCGCTAACAATCAGTTTAATCTTAGCTCATTAGTTGTCGAAAGGATGATATGAATGAAGCAGTTATTAAATTTCGGTCTTCCAAATTCCCATATATTTGCTTCTCTCAAGAAAAGTGAAAATACGAAAATCGATGAATGAAAATATGGTTGGGTTGTCCAGTTGTTACATATATGCATCAAATTTTCTTCTGCGTTAACAATTTATAAAAAATTTGCGAATTTTGATTAATATTTTAGTCTTCACCTTGCTTTTACTTTTTCAGTAATAAGTATTTTTAATTTATAGAATTTCTATGATATAAGAACGCAACCAAATGTATTCCTTTATACTTCCTTCTTTAAATCTAAAATTTTGCATTTTTTTTTGGAGATTTAGAAGCTTGTGATTGCAATTTTGAAGCTTGAAACTCACTTTCCTACCTTATTTTTGGATCTTGATTGTTTACATTTTTCAAAAATTATATCAATATGCCGTCCATAAATTTCATATGTTTACTAAAAAACTAAATTTTTTTGTATTGTGAACTTTAATTGTTAAAATATCAACCATTATATAGAAAACAAAAGTTACTTTGTCGCATGTAGGTTTGCAATGTTGCTGCATATTTCTTACAATTCAAATATGTGTAGTACTTTTTATTTAGGTTGCTTTTTTAAGTTTTATCACTTCTGCGGGGAAAGACAGTGGAGATGATACCTCCAATCGTAACATGAATATTGAAGAAATTGCGGGCAATATGACATTGACTGACCACAACGAGTAAAAGATAAACTCGCGGTAAAAAAAGGAGAAAAAAAGGGTATTTTTCAAAAAAGGTTTGCATTAACTATAATCTAATGGTCATTTGCTCCGATTTAAGGTATATTCATTTTATAATTCGTTCGATGGGGATTTTCTTGCAGTAGTCTGGAAGAAATTTCTGGCCACGTGTTATTCAACATGAGGTTAACTGTCGGGAGACGATTCGTCTTTGATATTTAATGAAATTAGGAGTGTTTATTTATCGCGACGGCATCTACAAAAATCAATATTTCCATGGCTGGATTAACGTTTATCTTATTTAAATGAACTGCTCAGGTTTACCGCGAAG